GCTTTAAAAAACTAATGAGAATAAATAGTGAAAACAAAAACTTAATCCTTACCAGCAACCTGAATCCCTGCCATTCGAAATTGGGTTGATTAAAAAGTTTCTGCTAATCCATAGTTAGTCGTAAATCATAATTAATTATTCGAGAAATAATATTCATTTCAAATTGTAAATTTATCTCTTTCCAGTCGTACAATTCGGTTTATCGTTTCTTCGTCTGAATGTTCCAATTTTCAAACTTTCTAAGACAAAGTCTGTTAATTCGTCCATATAACTTTATCACATCACACACTCTTTTATCCGGTCGCAAATGATTCTTCAAAATCTGAAATTGTATTTAAAATCCAGTTTTTAGTGAATTCACTTTGCGAGTTTTACTTGAAAACTTGATTCTGCCCTATAGAATAGCACATATACTATAGACAGATCCCTGTTACAAAGTTTAGAAATTTTACATACGCATTCAAGAATGCCTCAGTTTTTTGATCCTCTGTAACACTGCTTGTAATAGTGGATAGATAACTTCATCAAAATAAGTTCCTTCAGACTGAAACACGGCATATTCATTCTTAAAAAGAGGATCTCGCCAAGATTTCTCCAAAAGGATAAGTTCATCATCCATTAAAATCCACGTTTCATTGAAACCAAGATTGGTATTTGGTAAGGAGCGTGAACTTTGCCGAAAGCTAACTGCAAATTCTATACACTCGTTGAGAAAGTGGCGTTATCATTTGGTTTTCAAGAAGTAAATTATTGTAATGAATAACATATGGATAAAAATATGTTCTTATCATAAATAATCTCTTTACTACCATGCACAAACGGGTTAAGATATGGTCTTTCCAGCCTTGTGATATCCCTAAGAGATTGAGAGTTGCCAATAGAACATCATCTTTAACCGATGGAATGGATAGTAAGTTAGTAGAATTGATGTATTTTTTTTTGGGTGAACGCAAAAACCAGGCAGTGGCTTGTGTATTACACTTGATCTTGCAATTGGATTGGTTGTGATCACGATTTCGTATTCTTAGATGTTCTCTTATTTGAGAACGCTCGAGTAAAACTTAATATTAGTTACTATTCTTAACGTTAATAGAAAACAATAATTATTTTATGTAGAACATCAAAAAATTTTTGTGAATATTAGAGAAACATAAATTGAAGTTTCAGCAGTGTTTGCAGAATGGTTTTCGAAGAAAATATTTGTAAGTCTTTTCTTTTGACAATTGAGTCTTCAAGGACATTTCGGTCTATATCTCTTCAATTATTGACAGAATTTTCACTAGGAAACAAATTATTTCTCGTTTTTTTCAGTGATTCTATCTCTTAGTGCTCCAACCGGGTCGGGTCCAACCCGTAACCCGACCCGGAACGTCGGATTAGGGTCAAACCCGACCCGAAATATTTCGGGTCAGCCTAAAAAACGTTATTTCTCGTTCAATATTAATTAGGATTAAACGAAAATTTGTGGGTATATACAAAATTACATTCCGAACAACTCTATTTAAATATAAAATACAAGTGTCATAATAAAAATAAAAGTTTTTAACGAAAAACTATTTTACGATTTTCGGATCAAACCCGATCCGAATCCGACCCGACCCGAAATTATCGGTTCGGGTTGACCTCAAACCCGATCCGACCCGAACAGAGCTTTACTATCTCTTCTCGAGCAAATTCGACAACTTGTTCATCAAGAATTCCTTTATATCTGACCGTGATAAGATATACTCCAAAGTTTGGCAGCCTTATTTCATACTGTTTTTTTGACATCATTGCTTATTGAGCTTCCAATCAAACGTCGTTTGATCTTCTCTATACTTTCGTTTGTAGAACCCTATTGGATATATTGGCTTGACTCAAAATATTCCTTTTAAAGTCCATTCTTGTAAACTTGTAATATAATGGGCATATTAATTAGAACATTCGTAAGAACAAATATACAATACACAGATACAATAAAATAGCTGGCTTGATATGATGCCTTCTGGTAAAGAGACCAAGAAATAGGAAGTTCGTCAACAAGACGAACTACATTAAAGAGGGTATCCTACGCGTCTTGCAAGAAATGTACAATTTCCAACTCCTTAAAAGTTATAAATAGGAAAACATTCAATGCAAGCGATTACCCAAAAATAACTACAGTATAAGGTTAAACGTGCATACAAACACGATAAATTTTTATAATCTGGGACAATTGCCAAAAAATTGTAAGTTCCGAATTAGTTAATAGAATATTAGCTTCAATTATTTTTGATAGTCTAGTTTCTGTCATTTACTAATTTATTATCGTTATAATACGTAACAACATATCGCATATCAATATATGTACAGTACCGTAATTCATTCTTCATAACGTATTGGTATATGCGTAGATATCGATATTGATACATAGTATCTTTTTAGACTAACATTAATATGAGGAAAGAAATGGACTTTAGAATTTAATTACTTAAATAAGTCAACTTAGTAATGAAAAAATCAATATATTTTATAATATTAGAGATGATACAAACGATGGATGTTTAGAAAACGAGGAAGACTTGACAAAATCCAAATTTAACAAATATCCTATTGTTTAACAGAAGCTGATTATGCTGCTATGGAGTTTAATTTTTCAAGTAGATTTTATTATCTTTTAATTCAAAATGGTGAATATTTGCTTGTTCTTTTGGCATTACTTTTTTTACATATTATAATATTTTTAGAATTTCTTTAAAATATATATTCTCATTGTATTTTTTAATATGTTATTTTTAAAGCTTTTATCATATTAAGAATTTAGTTAATATTGTATTAAATAATAAACATTGACAGCAAACTAGAAATCGGAGTAAAGTATTAGAAATACCGATCTCGTTCTAGTTAGTTTTCATAAAAAAGTTTATCACATTGAACTTTATTCCATTTAGTATTTTTACCAGTTTTGTTTTTGTTTGGTTCGCTTTTTAATTATGCATTAATGCTGGGATACATACTCAAGAAAACTTCTTGTCATATGAAACTATTAATCCTCACAACTTCAAGAAATAATGCTGGCGTATATCAATATGATTATGTATATACTTTATGTGTGTCTCAATAGGTTCTAATCAATTCACTACTTTTGAAAGCACATCAAACGATGTAATTATATGATGGGAACCAAATCGCAGTTATGTTTGCTTTATATGTAATCCTTTTCACTTCATTTTTTTATTGGATATTATTTTCTTTCTGATATTATTTTACTAATATATCAGCTCATTTATTACAAATAATAAAAATAAATATTTAAATCCTCTAAATTATCAACAGTGAACTATCAATAAGAGCGAAGGGTTGACATTTCGTGTTTTATTTACTATTTTAAAATATGATACATGCAACTAAAAAAATACTAAATTAAGTACCGTCTGAACACACTGAATTTTAGCATCAAGTTGATAATGCAACATCTAATAAAATTCGTCTCGGCATTTAATGGTTTTTATATCCCTGTTTATTAGTCTATCGATTTAGAAATCAAATTATCTTAATTCAATATATTACTTGCTAAAGTGACTTAGAAATTATTTCAGCAAAGTTATATCTTACAAAATATTCTATAATATTATATATATATATAAATAGTGTACGGCGATGGTGAATCACAATAATGAGCTGGTAAAATTAAAGACATTTATATTTGTTATAATCAGTACCGTATTCCTCTGATAATAAGCATCCATTTTTTGCTTATTCTCAGATAATAATATAATTAATTTTTAGTTTCATCAAACAGAAAATAATGGGAATAATTCGAAGATGATTCAGAAGGAAAAATGAATTGATGTAATTTATTATACAGTCAAAATCCTTTATAACGGCTGGCACTTTTGGGCCGATATATAGTGCTTATATTATAAACTTCGTATACGTATAGGGAGTTTGAAAATCGTAAAAATCGGGATATCAATACGGTATAAGCCGAATCCGGTGTATACAGCGCCGTTGTAAAGAAATTTGATTGTATTATAGTCTAATACACCTATTAATTACTGGTTTGTTTTCGCTTAATTCTGTGTAAAATCTGGTGGGTATTTATTTAAGATATTGTATACGTACATAATGAATCGGAACTGCGTGAAGAAATTTTCAATTACATGTATCTTTATAGATTTCTGCGTTCGATACATGTAAAACATGAACGTTCGTAGTTTTGTCCTGATTATTGCTTGCAGAATCTACAAATTCTGCGAGATTTGCGGAGTTCGCAGAATTTGTCGATTCTGCTACATGTATATACATATACTGTATGCATGTACGTACATGCATACAGGTACTGTAATGGTAATTATTATACATGTACATGTAGTACATGTAGTGTCCAGTAAATTCTGAAACATTGCATGTGACGCTTGACCAACAAAAACTTGAATATGCAGATCGATTTTGTATAATTCACATACATGTACATGTACATGTATTTAAGTATTTTTATTGGCCAAGCATCACATACAGAATTTGCATAATCAAGCGCAAAGATGCAATAGACTGGACACTACTACATGTATAATAATTATTTAAAAAAAATCATAATAATATATGTAATTGCCTCCGGTTTAACGAGATTTTTAACTGTGTATATTGCAGAATCATTGTGTCGATTTGAATCCATAACAATTTGGCTCATTTTTAACTCAATTGTGGAGTCAAATCAACCCATAGTCTAATTTAAAATCTATTTAAATAACATTGACTCTCTTATTAATAGAATTCAGCAAATGGCAAAAAAATATGCATGACTAAAGTTTGGGTAACGGTTATTTATTAGTTATTTTTCTAACTATTCGTTTTTTGGTGAATTCGGTTTCTCTGACTTTTTAGGTTATCACGTGATTACTATTTAATATTATCAGTTTAAAAATTAACTTGTACTACAGCATCATTACGATCCTCTTTATGTATGTACATGTATAAACATCGTGTCGGATCTTATTTAAAACCCTTCAATCTAAAAATTTAATTTTTACAAAAGAAAAATGGGTTTATTAAATTATGCAATGATAATTATTATGATTATTATATTCTGGTTAGCAGATGCAGATGACGATGCTATTGAACCATCTAAATTTATTCGTTATGGGCATACGGCGAATTATAATAAACTTGACAAGAAAATCTATTTTTGGGGAGGAATAGATCGCCACAATAGTACTTCGGCTGATTTTTTCACACTTGAAATATCAAACTCGTTGAATATAACAGCTCCAAAATTTGAACAGAAAACACTTGATCCCACTCTTCCCAATGCAGCTTTTGCAACTTCTGTGATAAATAATTCAACAATTTACGTATATGGAAGGTTTGATGGCACAATGGTATGTTTAAATATCATGTTTTTAGTAATATAAAGAATAAATTTTACAAATTTTTTTTTACTTAACAGTTGTTTCAAGGTTTCTTTATTGATATATCGAGCAAAACATCTTGGAATAAACTTGATGGTCTACCAAAACTTGGTATTCCACAAGCAAGCATTATAAATGCTATATTAGATTCATCTGGGAGCATTTATGTTTTCGGTAGATTTATTAACTTATCTACTCAGCAACAAATATCCCGACGACAAATGCCATTTTCAGATCTATTTCCTCAGCTACCTCCTTTGACATTACCAATACAAAATCCATTCACTCAGCCAGATTCATCATCTCAGCAAACTTCTCAATCGCAACCAAACCTTCAACCTCAATCACGACCATCCATTCAATCACAACCATCCATTGAATCACAACCATCCCTTCAGCCATCATCCACTCAATCACAATCATCCATTCAATCACAACCATCCCTTCAGCAATCATCCACTCAATCACAAACATCCATTCAATCACAAACATCTACTCACCCTGAGCAACAATCAATCAGTGCAATGCTCATTTATAATATAAATATGAAAAATTGGATAACCATTGACACAAATAATCATGACCAATCAAAATTACCAGCTTCTGGTTTTACTGCGACATATTTAAAAAGGTCCAATTCCATAATCTACATAGGCGGTAACTCTTCAGATGAAAACTTTATATCAATGAATCAGGTTTCATATCTTCAAAGCATTTTCTCGTCTTTATTTTGTTTCAAACTCACTAAATATATTATTGGTAGATTTGGACATACAGTATTTCAGATAGAACATTAACATCAAAAGTAAATTTCTTTCAGTATTCAAATATATAAAATAATTCTTTATCTTTTAACTTTATTTTATAATTTTTGCCTAAAGAATACTGACGAAAATAACATAGTTGGCCGATATGGACATTCAGCATGCTTAGGTAATTTAAATTGTTTATGATCACATTAAAATTAGAAAGTTACTGAATACATGTATTACATAAATTAAAGTGCAAAATAAGATCATCGTTTACGGCGGACTTTCAACACTACCTTTGGATTCTAGTAATGCTTTGGTAATTCTGGAGATAAATGACGGCAATTACAATTGGAAAACACCAAATATTACACCGAATACGGAACCCATTCCGTATTATCATACTGCAACCATTATCGACGATACTTATATGATCGTTGCATTCGGTAATATTTTTTTTAAAAAAATAATTTTTAAATAAATCAAGTCTAACCGCACTTTTTTTTTAGGGAAAGAAGCTAATGGAATGTTAATTGGAGATACAAATCAAATAAACAATAGTGGAGATGTCATATCGAATATAGATCAAATAGAAGTAAAGAATTACGTGAATGGAGATGTCACATCGAATACGAAGGTTATTTCAATCCTTAAAGTAGATGTTCAGAATAGTAATTATATGTGGGTAACTGATTTTAATCAAACAAATCAAACTCCAAAAAAAGGAAAAAATATTGGTGGTATAGTAGGTGGTGTCATAGGTGGAATTTTAGTTGTTGCTCTTTTAGCTGGCTTTGTATTTTTCTTTTATCGTAAAATTAACAAAAGAAAACACAGAAATTCCGAAAGTTTCCGCGGATTAACAACTTCGACGAGGCAAAATTCAACGCAACAATTATCAATTCCAACAGCTTTAAATTCCCGATCACTTCCATCAATCCCACTAAATTCTAACACTTCAACTCAGCTATCGCAAGCTGAGCAATCTGCTCCAGTTACACTGACTTCTCCGAGGCAAAATTCAACACAAAAATCATCAATTCCACCAGCTTCAAATGCCCGACTACTTCCATCAGTCCCGTGGGTGAGTTCACAAAATTCTAACACTTCAACTCAGCTACCGCAAGCTGAGCTATCTGTTCCAGTTATGTTGACTCCTCCGTTAACAAGCCTAAATATGTCCGAGTTGTCTTCAGTTGAATCTCGTCGGCCTCTTGATTCGAGTAGTTCGGGTCCATCTCTTTTAAATATACCATTAGTTAGCTCTAATCCATTATCGCCATTTTATAGACATGATGAATAATTTATTGTCATCCATTTTTTGATTTGCAATTTGTAGGTCATTTTCTCTATTAGTATTCAAATAATTCGCTTCAAATATTTTACATGTACTATCAATATTCTATATATTCCGGCGTTTCGGAATTTTTATAATGAGATACTAGTTTTTATGTAATATTTAATAACACTAGAATAATTTCTAACGTAATATTATGCATAAACAAACTATATTTTTTTAAAAAAAACTAATGAAGAGAATAGCATTTGATACGTTTATTGTTATGTATTTATTTTAGTTTTAAATAGCACGTTGGCTTAGTCTGAATTTTTATTTCGATGTTTAAATAATATTTATTTTATTTTTAAAAGCATGTTGGCATATTCCGAATTTATTTCGATGCGATTTTAATATAATATTCATGATAAAGGTTTTGTTTTTGTCCACTTAATTGTCTGAGGTCGGGTCTATACGTAATTTTATTAAAAGGTAAAAGGGACTAGTGATACCTGATAATGGTATCAAATCATTTGTCAGACGAAATCCATGATAATTGACATGTTCGAACTTTTTGACCAATCAAATAATAGCTTAAATCACATCTACAAAGTGGGTAATTATTTCTTTTTATAGTTGAAATACTTTTTTAAGAATATTCTAATGTAAAAAAAATGATTTAAATCGATATAAAAATTTTGAAGAGGATTATATAACTAGAAAGCTTTAATATTTATTTATATTGTCAAAACACAAGTTTCAGCTAAAACACGGATAAAAGCTAATAATAATTTTTTCTATTTTTCTTAGCTGAAACTTGTTTTTAACAATATATAAATAAATTTTTTTGTATCAATTAAATCATTTATTTATATTAGAATATTCTTAAAATTATCTCAAATATAAAAAGGAATAATTACTCTATAGATATAATTTAAGCTATTATTTTGATTGATCAAAAAGTTTTATAATAGGTTTTGTTAATTTTCATTTGTTATAAATTTTGTGAATTATTATGGATTACATCCAATAATGACATATAATAAAATTATTTATTATTATAAAAATAGTTTTATCAGATATTATTTTATGATAATTAATAAAAATGCATAAATTTTAATTAGTCAAAACAAAGATAATATAATTCACACCATTTATAATTATCAAACAATTTTTATCATTTTAAATTGTATCTAGTCTTTCAATTTTAGTAAGATTAAACAAATAAACTATAAATATAATAAATTAAGTTCTTTTTTAATAAGTGTTTATTTATTAAAAATTGCTATAATACAATATGACAATTTGGATTTCAGGTTGGAATTTGGATTTCAGATTAGAATTTTGAATCAAAAAAATCTGAATAGTTCAGACGAATTGTAATTATATGACCTGTAAATTTTTTTTACCATGGTTATTAATTTAAAATTGGATATTAATATTGTATTTATTTCATTATTTCAAAGGTTAAATGATCAAAGCACATAAAGTTGAATTCAAAGATGGAATCTATTGCTCATGGTTGTACTAAATGTATTTGTGTCAATGGGGTTACTATTTAATATGATTGTAGTAAATGTACTGATCAAAAAAACGAGTATTGCTATTATTGTTATAAATATCATCAATGAATTTATAAAACTGATTTGTCACGCGAAAATAAAAATATCGATAATCTAATAAAAGGATACGCGGCGACTAACAAGGATGTGTCATTCAAATGGATCCTATTTGAAAGATTCACCAATGTTGAATATCTTGCAAAAGGAGGTTTTGCAACAATTTATAAAACAATCTGGTTATACCAACCAGTTTAGTAAAGATTTTTCGTTTTCAATCCAATTTTTTTTGAAAAATAGATTCTGACTGCTCTAAATTGCAGTTGAGTATCGTATACTTATTATATAATAACGATAACTAAAAATCCAATTACAGATAGACCTTTCTAAATGCACAGCATAGCTCAGTCCCAGCTTATAGAGATCTATGTATTCTGCTCTCTATAAGTGCACACCCTCTCTAAATGCACACTCTGTCTTGGTCCCAATGGAGTGCACTTAGAGAGGTTATCTGTACATGCAAAAGATGACAATAAATTAATTCCAAACACGAAGAATGACTTTAAAAAAAAGTTACAGTATTTATTTGAGATTATTGAAGGGTTGGAAATGATTCACACTGAGGAATTTGTGCATTGTGACTTTCACCCTGGAAGTACATTAATGTCAGATTACTGAGTTTGGACTTTCCTATCCAGCTAATCTAATCGAGAAGTTTACGAAGTACATCCATATACGTGCTAAATGGAAGTTACACACTAAAGATGCAGATCTTTACGAAGGTAAACAGCCATTCGGTGAGCAGACTCATGATACATGTATATATCTTGTAGCTGACATTATAAAGGAGTACGCCAAATAGTGTACCCGGATGTGCAAATTTATTATTAAAAATGTTTTCTATTCCAAAAAAACAGACCAACTACTGAGAAACTTTAATATGTTAGCTGGTCTATCTACGATCCAAGTAATATATCAATGAAAAGTGAAAGCTGATTACAAAAATTATTTCAACAAATATTTACTAAAAAGAAGGTCAATTTCAACTAATACAGATTACATTTATTTTATTTCTAATTTAAATCATATTAACATTATTTAAACTTACGTAATTTTTAGGTTCTTCAAGTGTTGTTATTTTAAAAAATACAGTATCATATTAAAAATACTTTTTTGCAACTCTGGATATGTGATTACTAAATTTGATATATATATATTTTGATGCTGAATCTAATATGCTCCAAATGAAGCAACTATGAGTAAACTTCATTAACGATTATTAGTTGCTTACGTAGAAATTTCATTTATATATCTCACAAGGGATTGATATTTATATTGACAATAATACTTAAGATGCCAAAAGAAACATACAATGTAAGTTTTTTTCATTAATACAACAGAGTCACAATTAATGTTGGGTTTCAGAACAATCCTGGAGGGAAATAACTATGATCTAACTAGTTTCAGTTATGTATCTAAATTACGTCATAGTGCTATACTACAAAGAGAACATGAAACTGATGCAGGCTTTGATGTCAGATATACTAGAGAAGAGCCAATCGAAATTCAACCTCAACAAACAGTATACATTGATTTATGTCATCAGTTCCGCCATCTTTAGGTCACAATATTTTTGATTCAAAGATCATAAAACGAATAATAAATATTCTGTTGAATACATGTCGGAAGAATCAAATAAAAATAATGATTTCATCTTTGTTGAATTAAGACAACAGTGATAATATTTTATCAAGTTAGAAAGAATAATAATCCAGGTAAATTTTATTTCTTCATATTATGTGACAATTCAGATGATTTTCTGATTTTTGTTTTATTTGAAAAAGATATTGGAAACTGGCATCACTAATGCACAGATATAGTTTTAAAAAATCTTTTACCCGTAGACTTTGGTTCAAAGATAAAAAACAACCAGGATCAATAATAGCCAAATTATAATTCACAAACTGAAGAATAAATTACCGTAAAAGTCAAACATAGGTATCCCCCCAATGTGATGTATCCCTCACCATTTTTAAAGGCCAGATTGTGCTTTATACCCGGGTATTAGATCCAGGAAAGCGTTGTACAGAAATTTTACAAGAAAAATTCGAAGAAAAAAAGCTTCAAAAAATCCAATCAACAAGCTGTTTCTAGAGCCGTTGTCCTACTCAAGAAGATTGTGCCTTTGGAAGTAACTTAGAGGTCATTCAGCCCGAAATAAGTGCACCCCTTTATAGAAATACTCTGGGTAATAAATATAATTATGAAAATATTCCAGGCACATATGTCTGACTTTTATGGTAAGTTTTCATAGCAAAAGATTGATATGGAATACTGAAATTGTTTTTTACTGTTTCGTATTTTTTTCTCATCTTTCATTTTTATGTACTCGTACTTATTTGAATTACTAATACTATTGATTATGTATTTGTTTAATAACGACAATATATTTTTAGCACGAAATCGATTTACAAACACGAAGGAGTTCTATAATGCAGCAAACTTCAATACATACCGTAACTGCTGTGAATAAGCACCATCCTATTTCAATCCAAACATAGTAAACAAATGAGCAACAGTGAATAAGCATCACTAAATTTAAATTACAAAATATATCCAATCGCTTTAATGACGATAATTTTAATTGTGAGGAAATATGTACACCCCGTTTTTAGAACCCAAAAAGTGGTGTTTATTCACAGCAGTTTACGGTATGATTATTCATCATTTCAAAGTTTTAACTAAAACACTACATAAAGTGAACTCAAAGATGAAATATAAGACTCTTGCTTTAGTATTTTTTTTAAATTACTACTGCGAAGAGCGTAAATTTTTTTATTGTCAAGAATATAAGTACTGCAATGAGTGTTCAGATCACAAACATTCAGAATTATACATGTAGCAAATGTACTGTTTGTCGAAAAATAGTACTACCACGGATGTTTTTCTATATCACGAACAAATTATAAAGATGAATACTTCAACAAAAATAAATATATTGAAAGAATGTAATAAAGTTAGTAAATATCCATGTTGAATATCTTACAAAAGGAGGTTTTGTAATAATTCATAAAGCAAAACTGGTTGGAACAATGGAATTATGAAGAAAATGAGTTTGACGATGAGAACACGAAGTTATGTTGAAATCACTACAGATATCGATATTACATCAGGGTTTATAAACGAGATAAAAATAAACCATTTCTAATTTTAAGAAGTTGCTTTTTCTTTTCTAATGCAATTAAGTTTTTCAAATAGATTCAGATTGGTCTAAAGTGCACACATGATTTTATTACATGATTGCGATATGATAGATCTTCGCAAATAAATGTACATGTACATGTATATGTACATGTACATGTATATGTACATGTATATTATATGTGATTCAAACTACGAAGTATTAAAGGAAAAGTTAAAAACTTTATATTAAATTATTAGAGGATTGGAAAAAAGGATTTATTCATCATGACTGTCACCTGTAAATATAGGTTATTAATGGAGCATTCCAGATCAAATTAAAATATATAACCTACTCTGGAGTAAGTTACATATTTTAATGTGATCTGGAATGCTCCATTAACAACCCATGTGTAAAAAGATCAATATATGGTAATACTACTCAAAACAAATTGTAAATTTGGAAGTCATAAACTAAAGCTGCAGATACTGGTAGTTTAGGATGATTATGGACGAGATATAATAGGCAAAAACCATTGGGTGAACTAAGTCATGATATACGGTATCTTTAAAGGAGTACGACCTAAGCTATCAAATAATGTTCTCGGATTGTGCAAATTTATTATTGAAAAATGTTGGAATTCTATTCAGAAAACAGACCAAAGGCTGAACGAATTCTCGACTTTATCAACTCTGCCGAACATATTGATGAGGAATGGAAACCAAACACTTTACACTTGTATTAAGGCTCTTTAGAATATCCCAAAACACGTAAAGAATTGACGAGTGTCTTAAACTAAAAAAGCAGCGATTAGATAACTTGATGAGGAGATGAAATTGTAAGAAAGCGTTCCTACGATAGAAACAAAAAATTAAATTTATACAGTCGAAGCTTTTATTTAATCGAATATCAGGCCTTACAAATGTTCCAACGAAGGTAAGATTATATTTGATATTTACTTAATAGTACAAAGCAGATTTCGATCTTAGTACGTATACCACATGCATGAAATGAAATATCGAATGAATTGCAAGAAAATCTACAGATTCAAGACGAATTCTTTGTCATCAAAAGAAAATGGTAACTACTTTTAGCATTACAATTTATTAAATTAAATTGACAACAATTATAATTATATGTTCCTGAAGGTATTCGTTAAATTATATCGATATTAACTATAATTATTATTTAACCATTACTTTTATTTATTATTCTAATCATTACTTGTATAAAAATTTATTTATTTATCTATTTTATTCGATTTTAAATTTCACTTTTATAGTATATAGGTCGAATTGGTACAGTCTCCAACGAAAATAATGGAACTTCTTTCTCGGGCATAGTATTGGAATGTGCTCGATTTGGAATATTTTTATTATACCAAATCTGGCATTAGAATGTTACGTACGAAAAAAAATCAAGACGATGATCTTGGATATTGTTTTTTATTCATTTTACCTTGCAAGATGTTGTCCAACTGCATTAAAGCCAACTCCTCTGGAGGCAAAATTTCCGGACTCGAAGAGAAATATCAAGCCAGACCAGGATTCTTTTGAGCTCCTGTGAACGATATGTTGCGCATTGCGGAAAAATAGCAAAATTCAGGATATTTACAGGTCTGATTACCCACAAATATTAACATCCAAAAAACGTTGGCAACTCGGAATGATGATAAATAGAAACCGCTATAATGAGATGGAGGTAGAGGAAAAGACTTTGAGGTTAGTGACCGGAACATCCGTCGCGAACTTTCAAACTTTGGTTATGTTACCGTACTTTCAAAGAGAGTCTCTTTTTTGTCCCAGTAAGCGAAAGACAACTGCTTGTCTTGCGCATGTAATCGCATACTTCACAACTGGTAGAAAGTTGGTTTTTCCGACGAAACAACAATCCAGATATTTCGCAACACTCTCCTCACGACAGCAACCCATCCAACCCATGGTGAAGCACCATTTCAAACCTCTTGTTATGGTTGCAATTAGTTGAAAAGGTAAGATGGGCATGCACAGCTTTGCCGAGAGCCTTGACCGCCACTGCAAAATTTTAAAGATCATCTGTATGATGGTGAGTAGTCGCTGTATCTTCAACAGGATAATGATGTGCAAGATGGCTTGAAACTCGCTTTCCAGATTCTTACAGCCCAGATCTCAATCTATTGAGAATTTGAGCTGTTTTAAAATATAATATAGAAGAAAATGGTAGCACAAAAAACAGTTTAGAAAATATTTATTCTGCTTGCTTTATAACGAATTTGGTGTCCGTGGCTGATTGGATCTTCGTCATGAACTAATTCGGTATATTATAACGAAATATTTGGTGGATATTCGGTATATTACTTAACGAATATTTTATATTATATAATATTCATTTATACAACTTTTATTTCAATATTCTTAAATTCATTTGTATATTAAACACTGTAAAAATCATGTGTGTAATAATGAATACTATGTGCATAAAATCTAAAGTCATCAAACGTTTGTATTTTATAAAATGTATAAACTTCTTTACTAAGAAGTAAATACAAAATTTAATCCGTGAATATGATCAAAAGGCCTTTTCTGAGCTTATTCATGGATTAAATTTTGTATTTACTTCTTAGTAAAGAAGTCTATACATTTTATAAAATACAAACATTTGATGACTTTAGATTTTATGCACCATAACAAATATAATGATTATTATATCTATACAGTGCATGCACCTAGTCTCACAGTTTTATATTGTTAATTTAAAGCCTATAAATTTTATAGAAGTAAATTTCTTACCAACAACTAAACATTGAAGTGTAGACCATAGTGTAGTCTACAATTCAATGTTCTGCATTTGTCCAGAGATTTAATTCTACAAAATTTATAGTCTTTAAATTAACAATATTAAAAATATTCTTTATTAGACTATAAATCTTAATTAAACGAGTTTTTGTTTAAGCTATTGACTATCAACAAACATTGTCTTGAAGTTGCTTTTTTAACCAATTTTAATTCATATCTTAACAAGTGCATTTAATATGTCTGATACAAAAATTTACTGATAATCGATTGATTCTACATTTATTTGATATAAAACAAATATACCAAAAAAATTTGTTATAAAAATTTGTTACAAAAAGAGAGCCATTTTATACAGTGGCGCTCAAAAGTTGTAGATCACCCGAAAGAAAGATTTCGTAATGCAATAACTTTCCACACACAACTCCAAAAAACACATAACTAGGTTTATTTTTCATCAAATATGAGAGAATCATTAACTTCAAATATTTATCGAATAATAACTATAAAATGATGATATACAAATATATTAATTTTAAATATGAATAATCGACTTGTAACAAAAAAATAAGACATTCATGTAAAATTCAAATAGTGATTTTGGACTTACCAACCCAAACCCTTTTCAAATACAGTACATGAAATAGCAGTTTTCTCTATTCTATCCACATACAGAATTATCGTATCGGTATACATTTTATACACGTGATGCATACTATACTGATATTCGCATTACCCAATGGAAAGGTCGATAAAACTGATCGACCATACCGATACTGTATCTAGATTTGTATGTACATGTATAATCTATTTTTATACACGACACGTTTATCGTTATACCGATACATGTACGTAATACACATAGTAATACACATACATGTTCATGTACATACGTAGCGGTAGTATCAGTACAACTGCAAAATACGTATATTGTATACGTATAAATACAACACATGTATTTATTTCAACGTCATTGTCGTATCTTATTTAAAAACCCTTCAATCTAAAAATTTATTTTTACAAAAGAAAAAATGAATTTATTAAATTATCAAATCACCATGATTATTTTATTATCATTCTTGTTGATAAACGCATCTGAATTTATTCCATCCGAACGTTATGGGCATACTGCGAATTATAATGAGATTGACAATAAAATCTATTTTTTGGGAGGAGTAGATCGCAACAATAGCACTTTGGCTGATTTCTTTACACTTGAAATATCAAACTCACTGAATATAATAGCTCCAAATTTTGAGCAGCAAATACTTAATCCTACGCCGCCGCCCAAAGTAGCTTTTGTAACTTCAGTGATAAAGAATTCAAAAATTTACGTATATGGAAGCTCTGATGACACAATGGTAATGTTTAACCTTCGTAATTTTAGTAATATAAAGAATAAATTTTTACAAAAATTGTTTAT